ATAATAACAGGGTTTCCACTGCATTGTGGTGGAACCTGTGATTGTTGTGTCATTTATTCTGGTTCCCACTTACACAGCAGTGTCAGGGGAATTGTGAGTCATGTAAGCCTGAGGTATTTTGTCACTTTGGAGAATAACATCTGTGACTATATGCCTGGCATTCTATTAGTCCAAATCCCCTGTTTCCCTGGGCATTATAGGTAAAATGGAGATTATTATCCCCTTCCAGGGAACTTGGTTACAGCTAGCTCGTGGCTCCTGTTGCATCCAAAATTGTTCTGATTAGGAGACATAATCTAGTGTCACAAGGGAATAACCACAATGACTTGAGCATATTCCACCTGACATTTTGTTCAGCCAGATTTCTGATTGGCACTTGATTAGCAACTAATCCATGTCATTATCTCCTTTAGTGAAATTAGTTGAGTAGAAAATGGTGCCGTAAATCACAGAGGTGGAATCTGGGGTGGGGGGGAGGCTTTGAACAGTGTACAGCTCTGAAAAGTGCTGTGAGGAGAAAGGAAATGTGTTGTTGCCATAGATACTGCAGAAATAGGTGAGGTAATATATGACTATGTAGATTTAGGAATATGTCCGTTTTGTTTTGTTTTTGTGGGAACTGCAACTCACAATGTGAGAGTATTGATAAGAGTTTGGGTTCTTATCGCCTGACCTGCCCACAAGAAGTGTTGGTGATTTAGATCTCGGTGGATCAACAGGTAATGCCCCCACAGACACAGAGTAAGGTTAAAATTTAGACCTACCTTGGTATAAGTGACCACTTATTCCCCTCTGTTAGATTGATACTCAGACTTCTCCATATTATGTCAGGTAGCATACACCACCCCCACCCCCATACCCATCCTACCCACCCTGTGCCGCCTCTTCTGGCTCCAGTCCTGAACCTAACCCTCAGAGGAGCAGAAAATAATTAGGAGAGAAAATTGCAGCTGACACTATTTCTGAAAAGCAGGGTATTGTAATGAGAGCAGAGCAGGTATTCATTGTGTCTGTCTGAGGGAGCGATTGAAAGCCCTTGGTTTTCGGGCTGTCTGGGAGAAGCCCAGGGAGAGTAAGCAGAGCTTTGCTGAGTCCTTTAATGCATGTGGGAACAGAGCCTTGAGAGGACAAGGCAGAGGTGTCTTCAACAATGGCAGGAGCCAAGGTTACAGCTGAGTAACTAATTCAAACTGCTCTAGACTGACACATGCACATGCTTGTGTCCCTTGTCTCTCTCTTTATGTCTCTCCCTCTGTCTCTTGTGCTCTCCTCATTTCCATTATGAGTTCAGAGGTAGACTGTACATCCATCGCTTACCGTTATCTTCATTAGCCTCGCAGACTTGCTGGCTGCTCAGAGAAGCTTTCTCTGAGCAAGGCTCTCAGGAAAGATGAATAAATGTTTTGTCCCACATAGGCACAGCTTTCAGCAGTGGCAGGCTGCAAGGAGAGATAGATGAAGTATTAACTGTTATATTTTTCAATGGGGGTTGAGGAAGCCCACTAGAGGGGTGGACAGAAGCAGATGCTGCCGTCTGAATATTAAGTCTTCTTTATAGAGGACATTTCAGTTAACAGGCTTAACAGGAGTTGAAATATAGCACTGGGCGCCACTGACTGTGCATCATGTAGTTGAGTACATGTTCATCTTAGGGCTTCTGCTTGATATGTGATTCAGGATGGGAGATGAGAGAGAGAGGTTGCTTTGATTGCCTTTCACTGTGACACAGGTGCATCATCGCGATAGCTACACCGATTTTTTTTTTCTTCTCTTTTTTGCATCTGAATATAATGGAGTTGGGACACAGCCAGCATAAACAGTGTTCAGGAGTCCTTTTGAAACTATTCCAGCTACTACTTGAAACATGTTTCATAACCCATGTTTTAAAAAAATACTATAACTGCAAGATGACTGACTGTAGTTGCAGAACTGGATTAAAAGCACAGTTTACCAGACTAATATGAAACTTGTGATCAAAATGCAGAATGCTGTTTATTACTGTTGAAGGCTTGCTGTTTCATGGTGAACAAGAGGAGAGTGAGTTGGCATGTCCTCCTTTCAGAAGCGAATGTAAAATGCCATTATTAGTGAATGAGAATCGGAGGCTGCCTTTGTAATGTTGCAGGCATCTATAATGTAGAAGTCTGCAGGGAATAATGCTGAAATCCCACTTAAATGAGAAAATAAATTGATGGCCAAATTGCATGTGGGTCATAGCTCCACTTACAGGAACTCAGATCTGCTTTTAGTTGCCTGAATAATGGACACACAGAAATGTATTCACAATCAAGTTTTGACTCCCTCACAAGCCACTGTGCAATTGAATTTGAAATTAAAGTACATTCTGAAACCCCTGTCTGCCATTATGCTTCCCCACCCCACTCTATATCGCTTTGTCTAACACTCAGAAATACACACACCATACCCATGATTCTTCTGTCGTACACCACCCGTTCTGTGAAGTAAATCAAGTAAATTAAATCTCTAGCGGTAGCATTCGAGGTTCTGGCAATCAGTCAGACCAGTTCAGCATCTTCATCTCTATGTATGGGCACTTTGAACAAATTACAAAGCTTGTAGGGTCTCACTGACAACAGATGCACAGTAACACACACAGCAACATCAGTTTCACACTCATAGTAGCTTATGCAACCATGAACAGGAGAAGCAGTGAAATGGAAACCATTATCTGCAATCTCATTCTTTAGCTACTGAGATGAAACACAGGCTGTAGGCTTTTGCTTTCTGGGTTCCCCAGGTGCTCATAGGTTTAAAAGAAAAGAAAAAATCAGCCATGCTTGGTAGTGATGAGAGATAATGTCTGGGGAAGATGGACTCCTGTGGGAACACTGTAAACTAGAGGAAAAATGTTCCCAACCTGTGTGTGTGAGACACTTGTTTTCTATATACTCTCATTTTCACATTAGTGGAAATGACAGGTAGCCAGCTTTTGTTGAAAGACTGAAAACAGCTGTGTATGTAACAAGCAGATGAGTCAGCTAGATAAGACAATACAATTATTAAGGCTTTCAGAGCAATTAGCACTTGGAAATGGCAACATTTTGGTTTAGAAGTCAACCTATAGGTCTTTTTCTTTCAGATTTCTTAGTTTCCTCAAGTTTAGTGGTCAAGATGTGGTAGGAAAACTGCATTTAGTCTTCAAAAGTCTATTAAAACAAACATATTGTAGTATATATTATGTGAAAGATCTTGTAAAAAACAACCTAACAACAAGGAAAGGAGGTATTTTAATGTAACATTTTCAGTCATCTTAGAGATTCACATGAAGGGTCATAACACCTAATACACTGAATGCTGACACTAGAAAAAATGGACTGCCCTGACAATGCTATGATACAGCTACAACATCAGGTAAACACATTTAGGTGGTTAAATCTTATTAAGTGCCGTAATAAACACAATGGAAAAAGGTTTTCTGTTTTATGTGCCGAGCGGCTTTATGCGTACATAAATGAGAATCATGCTTTCAGTTTAGCCATTCCTGTTTGTGAGACGTTAAGAAGCAATTATGATGCAAATAAGTGTAGCTGATGGTCATGAACAATCTTGTTTGCACAGTGGATATTATAAAAATGCCAAGCCTACAGGCAGCACTACCCGCTCTGTGTTGTGTTAAGTAGCTCTCCCTGTCACCAGAGCAATCCCTCCTCATATCCACATCACTGTCGGACTCGTGTTACGTTTTCAAGAAGCCATCAGGATTCGTCTCTGTCAACTACCTGTCCCTCAGTCCATTAAAGATGATTGATAGAGCTAGGAAATCCTCTGCCCAGCTGTTGTCATTGACTCATCCCTGAGAAGTGAATGGAGTTCAGATAGGGTTTGTTGTTCCTCATCAAAAGACCTTTTGTCTGTATTGGATGATATGAAGCAAACTATATTTCTGAAGACAGTGGAAAGCTATTCTCTGGCCTTTTTTTATAGTTTTATTACTCTACAGGTCATGATAGTGATTAGTCATTTTGTATTTCATCAGAAATATTAATTCAAATGTTATTTTTAACTCTTCTTATTTTGTTTGTTTGTTTTTTTTCCTCATCTGTTCAGAGTATGCAAACATTGGTTATCTTAACTCTCAGCCAGTTGAAAGCTAGTCTGAGGTTTGTTTTAGCTTCTGGCCAAGTCTTTACAAGGAGAAATTAAAGAGAGGAAAGGTCTCTTTGTCCAACTGGTGCTGTTCCTCGTCCTGGCTCCGTTATCTTCTAATGGCTTGTGAGGATTTTTACAGGACAACTTGAGAAGGATTTTATGATGTTTCTCTGTGATTGATAACATGCTCTTGGAGGGATGTCAGGCTTTCAAAGACAGATAATGTGGATTTCTATCTCTCTGCCTTCTTGTGTAAGACATGCTATCAGTCAAGTGTATTGCGGCCTTAACCCAGTGAAATTAAAACCTTAAGGGGGCGGGGGCCTAGGGTCTCTGTAGAACCAGGATACACACATCATCAGGGAGCATGACAGAAACAGAACACAGATCCTCATCATAACAGGTTTGCAACAGAGAACAGGACAGATATGAGATTCTCACCATAGGGCAGGAAATACAGTTAATGATCTGACTGTATATTGCTGTTGACAGAGGAGAGGGATTACAGGAAGAACATTCCCATTTTCACTGTGTGTGGAGGCGTTATTAGATCCTAGCCCACCTAATTTCATTCCTAAGCTCGTCAATATTTACCAGCAACAGGCACAGAACACCATGGCAGACCCGGTCTCCCTCCCTACAGAGAGGAGAAACAGAACTAGGGAGACAGTTTGAGAATGTAGAGACTGAGCAGCCAAAATCAGACTCATGAACTTAATTTGCAGCTTGTTCCTTGGTCCTGTTCCTGTAAACGGTTGTTTGTTTTGACACGATAAAGCACACAAATGGCTAATTAGCCCAGCTGGTTTGAGATATGTTGTGTGTGTGGTTTTGTGTGTTTCTCCTCAGGTAGGTCTCACATTTCTTTGTACGTCTGTTTTGTGTTTCAGTTGATGGCTGCATACACAAAGCAGCAGGGCCCTGTCTGTATGATGAGTGCCACTCACTAAATGGCTGTGATACCGGCAAAGCCAAGATTACCTGCGGCTATGATCTCCCTGCAAAATGTGAGTATTAGTAATTAATGCTTTTTTTTTGTTTGTTTGTTTTTATCTGTAATGTGTGCACCAATGCCTTGCAGGAATATTCTCTAATCAAAGCTCTGCCATTGAGGGCTACATCTCCTGACACTTAGTGAATATTAAGATTTAGCAGTAAACAGAGCAAAATTGTATAATTCAGCATTAATCTATATTGTTTTTTATCAAAGACCTAAATTTATTCAAATTTAAGGCTCCTGAACCAGCTGGTGCGCTGCACAAACAGTGCACTGATGCAAAAAATCGGTCATATTTTTTGTGACATTTTGATAAACTTGAATAAATTGCAACTAAATCTACACATGCCCACTCACACTTGCACATAATGACTGGAATTACTAGTATCCAATCCAAAAACAGAACGGGGTGCCTTTAATGCCCAGAATTATAACATGTTAATAATAATTAATGTAATGGTAGGGGAGTTGTCATGTGGAGGATAATTAATGTGACTGTTGATTGTTTGTATGGCTGGATGGGAGTGTCATCTGCACATAAACAGAGACATTAAGGAAGCTATTACTTGTTTAATTTGATTTTTTTTTTCTCCATCTCTGTTAACGGATCACATAACTCTTACTGTCACGCTGTAAATGATCAGAGGAGGGACTGTGCTGTTTTCTGTGTTTTCCATCTCTGTCATGGATATACTGTATTGTTTTGCAATCAAGTCAGAAACTTAGTCGTGTGTGCGTGTACACGTGTCCCCGCCTCTCAAAAGCAACTTTTTATTACAAATTTTTAAGCTAATTTCTTTTGGAAATTGTCAGTAACACTTGTCTCACTTTGAAAGTTTGTCACAATCTTCTTTCCTTGCAAACTTGAAATGGAAAACATGATGGGATGGAAGAAATGTGACTTGGTGTAATTCGGTTGAGACAAACGTCCCAGCAGTCCTAACCTAACCCTGAAGGATTTCCCTCAGACAGGCAAGAGATAACATTGAGGCCCAGATGAAATTAGGTTGTGTTAATACGGTATGTCGTAAAGATGTCAAACAAATGGAGCAGGCAAACTGCGAGTCAGTCTGGTGGGCAGCGAGTTCACTTGTTTTCACAGACAAAATGGGGTGCACCATAACCTAGAACATCACCTGGGAGCAATCACATCACCACTGGGCACTACTATTATAATTATCTCTGGAGATAACATCTTCTATATGCTGATTACATGGTAGAGATTGTGTAGGTCTTTAAGGATGCAATCACCTCTTTTTTTAATATAACGGTGTTTATTTGAGCTATTTTTACTCCCCAGCCGGTATCATCATCTTGTCTTCCAACCCTGATCACTGTCATCATCAGCGTTGTCGTGCTTGTCTGCATTTGGAAATTCCCAGCCACTTGACTTTTCTTTGTTTGTGCTCAGCTCTGATTTTGTGATTTTTGTTTAGTTTAGTTAATTTCCATCTCTGACTTATTTGTTCCACCTACATACACATTATAAAGCTGCCATGGCTGCAAACAATTTTTTTTTTATGAAATCACATATAATAGTCTGTCCGCCCCCTCATCATTGAACAAACAAAACAGCACGCAATTTTAAAATTTCTCTCAGTTCTGGGATGTTACATGTCAGTGCAGTAAGAAATACTGAAAGCTTGCAGTGAAATGGCAGTGATTATTAGATTTAATTGAAAGTTAATATTATGCTAATAGCCCTCTGCTGGCTAACACTAAATGCATAAAATGATTAAAATTGACATAAAATTAATTTTCATATTTGTATAATCGTATGATTACTTTCAGCAAACAGCCTTGTGTCATTATTCAAATAAAGAATGGATAGATCATTATGATGGAATTGATGGAGGTGGGTGTTGAAATTATGCAAAGATAGTGTTATATTTATAATAAGCAATTAAATTGCTACATAGCAGCTTTTCTGCACATAAACAGGAACTGAATATGCTTTTAGAAAATCTATCTAAACACAGAGCTCCACTGATATGTTTCTGAAAGAATTATTACGTCATAGTGGGTATTTGGAAAAGAAAACATTTGGCGATGCTGTAAGTGTGTTCACAGTGTGATTTCTGTGGGCAGTCTGACGTCAAATGCAAAGACTTACAGTGTCAAACAATACAATCCAACACTGAACTATCAGGATCCAACTGGTGAGACAGATACTGTAACTGGACCATCTTGGTCTTGTGCAAGGAAAGTTATAAGAATTGATAACTTTAGCTAAGATATTTGTTTACGAAACTGAATGCATGCATGTCTGCAGGCATCTACAGTATGTGCACATGAAGGCTCAGATTCTCATTGCACGTACAATTGCTTCTGCTGACGCATATCTGCAGATGGTGTCTCATCTACTTTTCCAAGAGTGAGAAGAACACTGGCAGATGAATCATTTACATCTTGGCAAAACCCAATATTTCCAACTTGGGCATTCTCTTTCTAGTGTTTCCTGAACATTAGGCTGCTTCTCACAAATTTCTATAACCACATAAATCTCTCAGAGGATAACACTCTACTTGGGGGGCACCCTCTCTGGAATTCATTCCATTGCATATAATTGGAAATAAGTAAGTCTAAATCCAGAATAATGTAGAACAAACTGTAAATTACATTGCTTTTAATTAAATTTTAGCGATGCAGACTTGGCTTCATACTGCACCTCCAGCAGTCATCGTATGACTTTGCCAGCAATGCGTGGAAATAAGCCATCCATCACACTACACACTCAGCCATTTCTCTTGATCTTGCAACATTTTTGAAGTTGTATGTGACATTTGAAAATATTACCCAGAACATATGGTATTATGCTGATCAGTTTTGTTATTTTTGTAAGAAAGTGAGGAATCACTGTTTAAATCTAATACTCAAAGCTGTCAATGCAATAAACAGCTTTTTTGTATCTTGGAAACTGCTTATTCCCCACAGGGAGAAAAGCAGTTGATCTGAAATCAGAGTTGCCCTTGTTTAAAGATTTGCTGTGCTGAGGCAGTGGAAATTGACCTGGCTAACCCACCCCATATCATCCTGTTTTGTTTTTTTTTTTCCTCAAGACAAGAAAATTGCTCTTCATTACATCCCACTAAGCAGTTTAGGCTGTGAATCCCAGTGGCAAATGAGCCTTTCTTTTAAGAGCGCCAAGCACATGTGGTACTCATTATTATAGGGTTGGCCCAGGATTATTAATCAATGACAGTAATTACCCGCCTACCATATAAAGACTCCCCCCAAAAAACCGTCTTTATATCAGTCTGACAAGGGCATTGTGTACCCTCATGCTGGACAAGTTACTCATCTGTTCCTAGATTAATGATCAAATGAAAATACAATGCAAAGTTTTACCAGCGTAGTCACATATGACTGTGTTGCAACATTGGAACCAAATTATAGATGTAAATGGATTTTGCTCTCCTAGAGTGGAACGCTATAGACTGATCATATAGTTTAGTTGTTCTTTCGCCCTTAGAATCAGCTTCAGCTTTATTGGCCAGGTGTGTTGGAAATGAGGAATTTGACTCTTGTACAGCGGCTCTCAATGTGCATGTACATATCCCCATGCACGGCAACAGCAAGGGGCAAGTAAACAATATACCAACATAAGGCTGAGTAGTATAACAAAATAAACAGAGTAAACAATGCATGGTAAAATAAGATCATTTAAATGACAGAAATGCAATAGGACCTTTAGGGATTGTACTAATTTTAGTGACACGGAATGTCTTACTGTTGGTGCAGCCTCCAAAGTTCTGGCTGTCTCTAGTACCTGGATTTTTTTTGTGCCATTTAACTACAGACCTCTTCACAGTATTCCTCATTTAACTGTCTGGATTCTTGTGTTTTATAGATACAGACATCATCAAGTCACCTGTGAATGTTTGCTATAGATCAGCTTTATAAAGTGCATTTTTTAAATGTTGCATCTGGTAAGATATTCAGTGGTTCATAAAGCATCTGTATAACTCACCTGTTGAGATGAAATGATTGAGTTGTTTGAGTGAATGACTGGTAGACCTGAACAATCTGTATGGTGTCTTTGGTACTTTATTTGAGAGGACATAAACCATTTTCTTCCTTGTGCTGTTATTTCCATTTTGTGTTTTCTATCCAAGCATTAGAGAACATGTAACAAACTGGAAAAGTGGGCACACAGGATGTTGTGAATGTAGTGTGAAATAACTGCATCTCGCATTTGTCTGAAAAGAAAGGAAAGTGGATTTCACTGTTGAATGTCAATGTATGTTGCAGTGAATAGATTATTCTTCAGAGACAAATAAGATAATTTAGAATTTTAAAAAAGAAAATGTGGAATTCAAAAAAAATGTTGGAGGTATTTTTCACATAATCATACTGAGTGTCAACATAGGTTTGGTTATTTGCATTTACTTTGGCTTTCATTAATAATAATTAAAAAAAATTAGCATTTATTAAGAGACTGCAGCTTAGAATCTGCTGCAAACAAAGACGGCTTAAATATTAGCCAAAGCTGAATTTGAATGCATCAAAATGAACAATTCCCAAATAACTATCTCTTCCATAAATCACTGAACAATAATAATCTACATTTATATAATTATTCTATATCACCTATTCTCCTGTGAAACAAAGCGCTCTTGTAATTAAAATGTGTGACAAATCAAAGGTTATCTGCTGTGACTGATCAGTAGATAGAACAATCTTTATTATTCTGGTCTACAGGTCCACACCAATAGCATTTAGTGAAGACCTTAAGGGTTAATCTGCACTTGCACATTTCAGTCCCAGCTGTCACAGTAGACCTAGAAGGTATCTGGAGTTCAAACTAGAGGTCTGCTTGAGAAAGTTAAGTTCCCAGAGGAACTTTTAGTTAGACTTTGGGTGTTTTCACTCTCCAGTTTCATCTGAAATCTTTTACCCACTTTTGTTTTCCTCCCCAGGGCTACTTTAGATTGACAGTTCAAAACGTTCGAACTGTTTATTGTTTTGCTTCTCCCCCCCCCACCCATTATCCCCTTAGCTCTAAGTATA